GGTGGGCGTATCCCCGCCGAGCTACCAGTCCACAATACGAAAGCTAATCTGTTGCAATCGCAGAGGTGGACCAGCCGAGGGCGTTTCTCGTTCGCCGTAGCATAGGGGGTATGTGCGGTAATATGCGTATTTGACCCGCACGCGAACCGACATCTTGGGGGGCTGAGGTCCCAAGTGCGACTCGTCGTCGGTCGACTAGGACGGATTCCACAAACCACGCGCACAACACTTTATGAATACAAAAATAAAACACACACACACGAAGCGACACAACACACACAACGTGACAACGCTCCTAGCCCCTTGGTAGCCATCCCATAACTCCTCGATGCGGACATCGAATAGGCGTTGCGCGCGAGACTTTGTATAAAACCGCACGGGCGCAGGGCTATCTCATACCGACTCGCAAACGCAAATGTGTGCAAGCAGTCGCGATGATGGCGTACTATGTAGTGCCCACAATCAAGCGGTCCCTCGTGGATCCGAGTACCACTTGTGACACTCAAGTGCCAAACTCGAAGTGTTGTGAGGGTCTAATCCTTCACGACATTGCACGACTGAAGGAATAGTCGTGCAGCCGCCACGAGACCTCCGGCCCTTGGCCTGAGCGTCTCGTCCGGCAAGGCGAATAGGCTCTGCACGGGGGCAGATTCCTTCCCTGCAGAGTCTAAGGCTTGGGATGTCCTGGACAAGGACCTTGAATCCCGGTCCAGGACCAACGTCCGACTAAGAAAATCCCAAGACGCAAATAAGCAGAAAGGAGGGTCTTCCCTGTGCCCCTCAATCTCAACTTTTAAACAGGGTTTTAATATGGGCCTCTCGAATATTCTTCATAAGCACACCCACTCATACACGCATAAGGGGGATAGAGTTGCGACGATCACTTCTCACAGGCACAGTGAGACCCCTCACAACCGTGTATATGTGTATGGGATCGCAGGCAATCCAAATTCAAAATCCGAGCCGCAGGACATACCTGCAATCACACAAAGAATCGAACGACAAAACACGCACTACACGGAGTCAACCCCAACCATTCTCTATGCCCATACCCCTTCGCTTTAGCCATGCAAACCCCAATCGCCGATCCAACCAACCTCAATTAAATACTCAGTGCCTTTGTTAAATGACCATTCAATAAAAGTCCGGGTGAAACTCTTAATAAACAGTAAAACCACCAGCGCTAACGCCTTTTAGGTTGAGTATGGAGAGTGGGTTGAAGTCGAGTCGTAGACCGACGAATCGGCAACCGACCTGTTATCGATGATAACAGAAGATGATTCTCAAAGGATCATGATGAATCTAGTCCTGATCTTGAATCAGACACCCCAAGGGACCTGTAACACAAGGTAGGTCAAATGCCCAAGCTAAGTCATCAGCATATGGGGGATAAACCCCCATAGCACATTCTCACTCAAAGCTACCTGCCAACTAAGTCCAAGCCTGCCTCTAAGCCAGCGCCCAAAGCTAAGGTAGGCAAATGGCAGGATCTCCCCTATTCAGGGTGGATTGCCAGAATCGTCACCTGTCAAGATGTAGTCTAACTTTTTTAGTTCAAGAAAATTTCGGCAGTGCTTCCTGTAGGAAAAGTGTCTTTTCAAAATTTATACATGCTCATATATCAAAAGCAGGAGTAATCTATAACTTTGAAAGGAAAGATTTTGTCCAACTCTCTGGATCAGTAGAAATTTGGGCAGCATCCCCTTTGGAATTGGGGATTTCCCAGATTTATATTAAGCCAAATTTGACCTCAACCCCCAACTTTGAGTTCAACTTAGACAACGGGGACCATATTAAGCGACGTCCCCGTCGCATCGCCTTAGCAAAAAGCTATAGATCCCCTCACATTCCAAATGTTGACGAGATTAGAACCAATCCGATTAGCCGAGAGACCCAGGGTTGAGGTCTCCATCAAACCGTGCTAAAACAATTATATGCTGCCAGGACTTCAACCCGGGTCCCCATTGTCCTGACACCAGGACGCTGGTGTATTACGCATCAATACTACAACATAAGTTCCAAAGGCCCTCAAACCATCCTCTTCCCCTTTCGTCCTAGACAACCATCGACCTCTCGTTCGGTGTCCCAGTTAGCCTCTTTCTCGTAAGTAGAGCCATAACTAGGGACGCGGGCTTCGAATGAGACCAATGAAGGCATTTTTGCCTTCTTCCAGCAAATTCCTCATAATCAAACAAAATACATATTTATAAGCTTGTAGCCTCTCTCGGCCTTTTCCGCAGTCTAGTACAGAAATGTCAGGTCCCCATCTGGGCCCACCGTAGCCTGGCTGATCGGACCAGGTCTACGGCCCACCGCATTGTTACCTTTAGCGGCGGTATCCTCCCGTTGGTTATACAACGATAGGCGTTTTTCCTGATAATCAGTCAATCAGGACCTTCCAAAAGACTCGACTCCTATCCCGCGGAGTAATTTCTCTGGGGCGGGCAACTCCCCTTAAACTCTTACCTCGCGGACCCGCAGCCAGGTTGTGCCGGCTAGCAGCCATCCACTAGGGGTTGCGCCCCGGTGACACTAAACTTTACCGTTAGCTTGGTATTCCTTTAAGTATGTCTCGGAATTAGCACAGGCGGGGCATCACAAACAATTCACAGGCCGCTGCGGGACTACGTAGGGGCTTAAAGGCATTTACCGGCCCTCCTATAATAGGCACGACATCCTTCGCTCAATCACAAACAGCCTCCCTGCTGGATCCACAAGGCCGCGACTCCTGACTTGATCAGAGTCAGCAGTCGCCCATCCTGAGACATCTCTCACCCTTTTCAAACAGTTCAAGCAAACATGGTTCCCTCTCGTCAGGCTTTATCAACATAAACAATGCTTTCCATACCAATCAGTTTTTAGCCACCCTTACTTAGTAAAGTGTGCCTCTCACAAAAGATCTTGTGTTCACCCCTCCCCTCGCGCGGCCTCTTCCAAAACCATGAAGGGGCCCCAACAATAACACAATTCCCACTCTCAAGAACCATGAAGGGGGTCTTAATCACCAAACAACTCAAACTGAGGTACCATCTTCTGGGTCCTTGTGCAACTTAGACAACGATGTTTGGTATGACCAAGCATGCGAATTTATGAATCAATCAATCCCGTAGGATTCTCACAATTTTTCACAAACAGGCTGCACTCCCCCTCCTTATACTCTGCCCTCTCGTCCGCTTGCAAGCAGACCGTACGAGTATACCGGAGGGTAGACAGCTTTACAATTTACACAATTATGCCCATGAGATGTATCCTGTACACCTCTCACACAAAGTCAATCATACATCAGGATAAAGCCACACATGTGAGAGTGATAGTGGTCGTCACAAGACAAGTCCCATAAGATCTCAACTCATGATACACTCAGAGAGTACAATGCCTCCCTCAAGACTCAAACACAAACACTCAACTCAAACTCTGTTCATCTGAGCATGGCTCACGACCCCACTGTACACTCGCGGAACACACTCGGGGACACAACATCTACCTAAGATTTAATGGGTGCCTATCTCCCTGTCTCACCCAACTAAGGAAAACTCTTACCCAAGTCTCTCTCAAAATTCAAATAATCTCCGCGCCGCAAGCCAAAAATGGATCGAATAGTCTCACGTGTCCTACGACCAACCCCCATGTCCTAAGCCGTAGCCTATGAAAGAAAAGCTCAAGGAAACCACGATCAACTATGTAGGTATAAGCAGGCAGGGACTCATCCTACCACCTCTAAAGTACGCACACATCTAGGGCCTCCTCTGCCAACTCAGCATATGTACACCTCCAACCCGCACCCTGCATGCCAAATACTCTGGCCCTACTGACACATAGACAGACCAACCCCTACTCACACAATTCCTCCTGGTTCTGCCTGTATAACTGGGCCCGGCCCCCATCTGGAGCTTGCTCCACTATCCTACCCTGTCTGTCATAGAACTTGCCGTTAAATTCCGCGACTCGCCCCTCGGCCTTATCCTCGAGGATCTCGGGGTAGTCCACGGCTCTATGCCCCTCCTTCTTGCACCAAAAGCAAGAGGTGTCGTGCCACCTGGCAGTCTTCTTCTTTCTCCCCCGGGAACTCGATGCTGAGGGCGTTCCCATGGTCTCAGTGGTCACCTCGTGACACAATGGTACCCCCATATGGCCCCGAGGTTCGGACTCCACAGCCTCAGCATCCTCACCTCCTCGCACGGCAGTGCTCACTGGCTCGTGGTCTGGCGTGCCCAACTCTCGGGATCCCTCCTCGTGAGGCCTCTCCGTCGCAACCACATCCCCACATGATCCTAACAGTTGAGGGCCCGCCATGGCTGCTTGCTCGCTCATGACCTCCTGTTGCCGCTGCCGTCCTGAGTCAGGTTCTCCTGAGTCCGTCCCTGTTGCCCAGGAGCCCAACTCCGCCCTCAACTCTCCCAACTCTGGGGCGTAGTCTGGAGCGTCAAGCCTCTGAGGCCTCTCCTGCGGAGTACCTATCCCCATGGCTGCTGCCAGCTCATGCAAACGCGAGCCTCTTCTCTCCGTGGACATCGCCATAAGTGACTCCTGGGCGCCACCCCCTTCCTCAACCGAATCCGGAGGCACCTCCCCCATTGGCCCGGCCTGTCGAGGGGCCTCCACCGCTGCTCCCCGACCCGGCGAAGCCTGCACCTCTCGGCCCTGGCCATCGGCACTGGCTCTTCCTGTCTGACTAGCCTCCCAGGCTGCGAAAGCCTATCCACAGTGGCCGCCATCTCCCCAAACTATCTCTCCCACTCAACCTCTCCGGCCTGACTCCTCGCCCTCTCCTCGGCAAGATGAGTAGTCAGGTGCTCCACCTCCAACTCTATGACCCTGAGCTCATCGTTGAGTAGACTATACCACTGGAAGGATGTAACTGCCGTCTCACATATCCTCCTATCCACACGCTCAATCGCCGTCCTAGTCGCGGAGAACCCCAAGTCCCCCATCTCCCTCATCTCACCCACCTCCTCGTCCGCCTGTTCCGTCTCTTGTGACCTTTGGCGGCCTGCGTCCCTCTGGCCCTCGTACCTCGCCCACAACTCATCGATCCGCTGCTCGCTTGTTTTGGGATCGACCGGCGGCGTCGGCTCTATCCCGACCGCCTCCATCTCAGCCTGCCTCGCGTGTATTTCATCCAAACGGGCTCGCACTCTGGCGGACTTCTCCTCGCGGGTTTCTCTTGAGGCTCCTCTCACTTGCGGCCCCTGGCCTTCCGGAGTCGACGCCTCGGCACCCACCCTCTCGCTCGTGCATGGCAATGCTGGCGATGGCTCCGCTAGAGAAGGTCCCCTGATAACTAGGCTCTCGGTCGCATGCGTGGCCAAAGGCAAGTCTGGAAGTACCTCCCCCTTCGCTCTCTCACGCACCCCCTGATCCTCCATTTCGGTCTCCTGCTCAGGTGTAGCGGCGGTCTCAGGGGGAACTTGAAGCTCTGGGACCTCCTCACTGTCTGGCTCAGGAACCCCCTCTGGCCAGGACTGCTGCGCTGACTCTGGGACTAGGGTACATGGAGGGGTATCGTCTCCAACCATGATCACCTCCTCAGTCCGAGGTCGTACCTGCCCCTGTGGCTCGGCTATCATCCCAAGATCCTGTGGCTCCCCTCAGCCCCGTAAGTCCACCTCTGCATCTGGATCCAAAGGCTCCTCCAACGACACATATCGTACTGGCTCAGTTGAGCCCTCTCCCAACCGTGAGGCCTCCCATCGAGATACGTCAAGGTGAGTCGCCAGGCTCTGAAATGACGTCTTCCCTGGTATATGCGGCTCCTGCCCTGATGGCGACGGTGAAGGCGGCCCCAACTCCTCGCTCGTAATCAGCCGAAACTCAACTGCCCGAAGACCACAAGCAGGAAACGACTCCTCTTCCGGTGCGGGCCCCGTGGGCTCATCCTCCCACTGTGTTGGGGCCCTCCTCTCTCTGGCCCCAGCTCTCTCGGCGCTGGTTCCCTTGGCCTCTTGCTTCACCTTCGCCTCTTGACCCTGGGCTCGGGCCTCTCACGCTCTGGCCGTCCAAACGCCCTCCTGAGTTGGGTCTGGCAGACCTCCCAATCTCGAGCTCTCTCCCGAATCTGTCTAGCCCCCGGCCTCTCTGCCCCCCTAGTCCAGATAAGTAGGGCCTGCACCCACTCCTCCCGCGCAATCCCCTGATTCAACATGTAGTGCTCATACGCAGGAATAAACTCCTTTGCGTTCCCCTCCTCCAGTCGAATGGGCATGCCATCACGTCCCCTGGGCGAAGCCCTCAGTCTCTGCATCCCAACCTCCACATCTGGCCAAGGTCAGGGCCTCCTCACATATCTGAGCGGCAGGCTCCTCAAACCGCCCTATACCCCTCAAGTGGTGAATCCTCTCCGCCACTGACCACCCTCTCTGGGCCGCATGATCCCGATATACGTCCAGGAAGAGCTCAATGTTGTCGTCATCGAACTCTGGCGTAGGCTCTCTCCTAGGCGGCCCGTGGTGCTCGCCTCTCCCCACCGCCCTCTGAGGCCCCTGTCGTGGTCGTGCATCCCTCCCGCCTCTCTGCATGACTGCCTTCAAGAAGTCAGACATGCACAACAGGCGAGAGACAGCAAACAGGCGCACAGTAGGGTCAGCAACTAAGCCTATTGGCCTAGGAAAATCCCATACACTCCACACCCATCCACCCCAATCACCCATCTTATCGAATCACTTGACATGGGTAATACCTGGGCAAGACTCTATTCCTGACGAGGTCGCATGGTCCCTTACCTATTCCCTGACCACGAACTTCTTCAGCCTTGTCCCTGATACTCAGTCCTGCCACCCTGCCCCATCCAGTTCTTCAATTTGGTAAGCCCCAAACTCGCCACACCGCACGATCCTATTGGGTCCCAGCCACCGTTTGTCGAGTTTCCTATACCATTGTTTTTCCAGCAAGGAATCATACAAGATTACCGCATCTCCAACTTTCAGCGGATCCTTTCTTACATGGGTCATCTGGTCCCATCTCATCTTATCTTCCATGCGGCTTCTCTCTACCTGACTAGCGGCTTCTCGCAACCTTTCCTCAGCAGCTCCCACTTGCCGTGCCCGAATATCGAGCAACTCTTCAAAAGACAGGTTCACTTCCAGGTCATGGCGCCTCCACGTCTTCATGAAACTTTCTATGGGAAAGGTGGCATGCCTTCCGTACCATAGCGTGGCTGGCGCATACTTGGTAGTCCTTTTTACTGTAACGTTTTCCACAAAGAAAGCCGCTCGCAGGAACTTCGGCCACTGACCCGGCTTACCCTCCGTCCACTTGGCCAAGAGGTTTGTGATGGTACTGTGCCCCCTTTCCACAGGTGCGTTCGCTTGCAGGTGCGGGGCTGTAGTGTAGTTAACCACCACGCCATACCCCGCAAGCAAGGTTCGCACCTCATTACAGGTGAATTCCGAACCTCGGTCCACCACGAACTCTTTGACAAAGGGATAGCGCAGGTAGTACTCCTCGATGCAATTTGCCAAAACTGGGTCTGTCTTCGTCCAGATAGCCCGACCATCCACAAACCTAGTAAGGGTATCCCGTGCATCGAAGATGTAATTACACCCATTTTCCCCAGCTGGGATGAACAACAGGTCCAAGTGCACACCCACACCCACACCCACTTCCCTCTCCAACCATGGGTGCAGGGGTTCCCCTGACCTTTGCGCAGACCTCTCTTGGCAAAGTACGCAGGACTGACAGTATTTGATGACCATAGTCAGCATTCCGTCCCAATGGTATAGTTCGCTTATCTCTGTGTACGTGGCACTAACCCCTCAGTGCCCCCCTGCTATACCGTCGTGTAGGGCTGCTATGACATCGATTTGCCGGTTCCTCCCACATACAATCCTCTTGGGGTTTCCGACCTGTCGCTTTATAAACAGATGACCATCACTTACTACGTAGAGATGCCTCATCTCCTGGGCTTTAGCACTTGCGTCCCTATCCCTTATCTCACATGACAGGAGTAACCCTTACTCCCGATAGATCCCGTCATACTCTTCTGCGCGAAAGGCCTCCCTGATCTCTCCCTCCTCGAACTCATCGTCCTGGCTTTCAGGAATAAGAATTTCACTTTCCTCAGGGCCAAATGAGTCCCTCCGGTTAAAGCTCCTCTGCAGGAGTGTATTAGTGAGCAAGTACATCCCTCCCATTAATTGCTCATGCTCCTCTACCTGGGTCGGGCCCTCCTCTATCGTCCTCACTTCTTCTGCCAGACTATGTGTACCTTCCGATGCCAACTTCATCATCCAGCCAACATCCCTATTCCCCCACGGATCTTCCTCTTGGAAAGGCTTGAGGACCAATTCCTCCTTTCGTTCGTACCCCCTTGGCGCTAGCCATATGGGTTGCGTGACGCAACTAGGCACCCTCAAGGACCATTGATTTATGTGGAGGCGGACATCCTCCTCCTGATCCAAGAATCCGTCAACTGGCGGGGTGTCCTCAATTGACTCCTGATTCGCCATGTCCCAGTTGATACGGCTCAGCCCATCTTCCCTGTTCTTGTCCCCTGGAATCCTCTCCAACTCGAAGTTTAACATCCAAATGTAAGTCAACCACCTCGCGATGGTTGGGTCAGATGGAGTATCACTTTTCAGGGAACACGCAAGCGTAGTAGGGTCCACCCTCAAAATGAGCCTCCTGCCAGAAATATAGTTCCGGAAGGTCCTCAAACAATGGAGTACCGCCAACGTCTCCTTCTTAAACTGAGAGTAGTCAGTCGTATTAAGGGTACGACTTTCAAACCTTAGCGGCCTCTCCTTCCCATCCGCATCTGCCTGAATCAAGACCCCTCCTAAGGCAGTTGGCCCAGCGTCCGTCTCGACAACGAATGACTTTTCCTCCGTGGCCTCATAATTTGGCGCTCCCAACACCAAGCCTCCTTCCTTGAACTCTCCCTTCATCTTTTCCACAGCCTTTTCCTGGTCTTCGTCCCAGACCCACTCCTGATCCTGACGCACCAGCTTCCTCAAATGCTCCATCTTGGTGGCGAAGTCCTTCACAAAACTCCTCCAAAACCCACAGGTCCCAAGGAAGCTCCTCACGTCCGTTATTGACTGAAAGGGGACTGACCACTCTAGGATCTTGTCCGTTTTCTTCACATCTGGCCTTCGCCCCTTCTCATTACAGACAAAGCCCAGGATCGTGGCCTCCCTCATACAGTGCTTCGACTTGGGGCCGCTCGCCGTCAAGTTGTGCTCTTCCAGCAGACCCAGAACCTGATCGATATCCTGGATATGCCTCCAAACGAACCGCCTCACTCCTGGCATTATTTCGTCTCCCTCCTTCTCCTTTGGACCCTTGACCGCCAAATCCTCAATGTAGGGTTGGGTGATATATGGACTAACCGTCTGCATCACCCTAATCATGTGCCTTTGCACCATCGCCACCGCATTAGTCCATCCCTGAGGGGCTACATTCATGTGGATTAGCCCCCTTGGCGTATGCATTGCCGTTACCAGCCTATCCGGCGGGTATACGGAAAACTGGTCATACCCAGAATAAAGGTCTATAAGTGAGATTATAGGTCTTCCTTCGCATGACTCTGACAGGGCGTCCGCGTTCGACAATCCTCCCGCGTCCCGCACCGTCACTGCATTCAATCGTTGCAAATCCTGCACCCACCGTAACGTCCCGTTCGACTTAATAAAACAAAACCAAGGGGAGGCATACGGCCCACTGGAGTAGTCTGCCACGCACGTCCGCATTTTTTCCGTCCAGGTAGTCCACCACCTTCTTCTCCTCATCCGGATTCGGATATCGCGCGCCCCTCAGATTCTACGGCTCATGTGGGACGGTATGGATTCGTATCATTGGGATCTTATCCACGTCCAACCTCCCACGCTCGTCGTCACTAAACGCATACTCGCAATGCCTCCTCTTCATGGTCTCCACCATCAAGGTCCTCTCCTGAGGCGAAAGGAAGCCAGGCTCGCCAATTATCAGCCCCTCTTCATTCTCATCATTGATTCGACACGGCCCTGCCTGCGCACGCTCCCACATACGTCTTATCAACCCTCGCTCCCACTCATAATAGGCTTCCTCATCCTCCGTGACAAGCACGGGGACCAGGCGACACTTCTTATCTATAGTCTTGTACCGCCTTTGGGAGCCCTGCTTAAGCCCTCCCCTAAAAAAGGCCAACCCGTCGTTCGGGCCTGGGCCATCGCAGGGTCTCTCCTCCTTCATGGAAGCCGATATATCAGTTTCACCTCTCCCACCTGAGGGCTTTCCAGGACCTGCTCTCTCAATGCCTTTATGGCCTCGGGGTCCGCCATATCATGTGCCGCCGCCACCTCCATCGCCTTATTCACGTCGTTAACGCTCAAAGACAACACTTCGGCCGCTCCTTCCTCCTCTTGTTCCTCTCGAAGTCTTCATCGCGCTTACTCAGACTCCTCGAAGGTAAAGGAGCCGAGGTTGAGCCTGTTCCTCCCACTTCCGGGTCCTGTGTTCCGACACTTGATGATCTCGTAGTTCCCGCAGGCCGGATCAGATAGGTTCAGGATCATCGTTCCCTCATGCCTATTGAAGACCAAGGTCTCCGTTCGGCAGAGGAACGAACTCCCTAGAAGGATAAAGTGATCGACATTGGGCATGACGAAGAAGCACGTTCGTGCCATTACCTTCCCAATTTCCACCATCACGTTAGCCGCATAAAATTTCCTTACAGTTGGCGCCATGCAGCACACCATGATCCGAATGGTCAACCTCCAGCCCTAGCATGGTCGCATCTTGCTCTCGGATAATGTTCATCTCAGCGCCCGTGTCCACCATTGCGATGCTCGGCTGGTCCCTCACCTTCAGATCCACCAACCCACACGCCACACATTTCCAATCTATCCTGGTGCCCGCCTCTGTCCATTCTATCTCCCTGGGCAAAATCGTGTTCAGGTGGACGTTGGGCACTAACCTTCGTGAGAGTCGCCCTTTTAGTTCACCACGGAACCTTGGTGCCGACGCCAAGATGTCTTTCAAATTCATCAAATCATTGTGACCCTCCAGGAGCTTATCCACCATTCGGTCCACATCAAAACCCTCCTCCAGCCGGACTGCGTACTTCTTCCTTTTTGGCACGCCGTCGTGCAGGCCCGGCTCCGCCCCTCCCTGAATTCCTCTCTTCTTGGCCCTCTGCTCGACTCGCCGGTCCTCCTCCTGCCAGGGCCTCTCATCCTCTTCGTCATCACCCTCCTCTTCCTCCTCCTGAACCTCCACCACTTATTTCCTTCGTTCAGGCTGAGGTTCCCTCCGAGGAGGCGCCCAACCAGGTGCCTGGCTGGACCCTTGACTAGCGGTAGCCTTACTTTGGCCCCTAGTCTGTGTGGCCTGTGACACCCTTCCATGCGACGTAGGGGGCCTGAAGGTCATCCCTGACCTAGGGCCTGCCCCAGCTGTTGCCACGCTTGGACACCCTTGCGGTCCCGATGACGACTCCGGGCCGGACCTATAGAGCATCACTTCAGGGAGGCTCATTTCCCATTACCGGGCCTCTTCGCACATCACCCTCAATCGCTCCTGGTACCTGCCGACCTTTGCAAGCAGGTCCTCCATCCTTTCCAGGATGGTCGAGGCCGACTCTCCCACCACTTCTAACCCCTCGTCGTCCGACTCAACGACTATCGGTTCCTCCTTTATAGTTCCCGCCTTTAGTCGTTGAATCACTTCATCATTTTTATCCACGATCTCTTCGACCCTCACACCCGGATCCTCCCTTTCTTGCCATATTCGAAACATAGTCGGGGCGGCCGGTGGCCCTGCCGCCGCTCGCCTGAGGGCCTCTTGTCTGATTCCTCCGGGGTCTTGGGATCGATGTGCTTCCCCCACCTATCGTATATATCCTCGTCCATACAAGAGGAGATTAGTCCCGCCAGCTCGTCGTCCCGTCGCTGTTGGCAGAACCGTATGGTGTGGCCCACCTCGCCACAGTGCCAACAAGTTGCATTCCGCCAATCAAAGCGGGGCCTCCCGTACCCTTGGCCCCCTTCCTGGCTGCCTTGACCACCTTGGTTCTGACCCCCCTGACCATTCCAACCTCCCCCACGGCCTCCACCATTTCCTCCTCGTCCCTGGCCACCCCCTCCTCGACCCCCTTGGCCCCGGCCCCCATTGCCTTGCCCGCCTTGTCCTTGGCTCCCTCCCCCGGCCACACTAGCTTGCGAGGCCTGTTGGGAGGGCAGCGGTTGGGCCACAGACTGGCCTTGAGTCGCTGGGTGGCTCGGGGGGCCCATACTTGCCGATGGGCCCGAATAGGGGACCATGTGCCCCATGTGGGCTTGACTCCCTCCACATGAGACACAGTGGTTGCAACTGGGCCAGGGCGCAGACTAACAATGCGGCACCCAGTGTTCGCAAGTTGGTGGCGGCCCCATGTGCGATGGTCTTGCTGGCGCTGGCGCGGCTGCGGCGACAGGCGACGGTGCGGCAATGGCTTGGGGAGCCTGTCCCTTCCCTGATCCCTTCCCTCCCAGCAGCAGGTTGCGCTGCTTACTCTGGGCCTTAGTCAGGGCTTGGGAACCCGTCTCCTCTCCGCCGTAGTCTTCGCGCCCAGCCTCCTTATCTACTGCCCCTGACGCCCGGCCTTGCGCCACAGCCACCCCTCTTTTCTGTATTTCCGCCTCATTGTCATACCCCAGCGCCGCCAACACGTCCGTGACGATCCTCTTCACCCCTGGGGTCCCGGATGCGGTAGCATCCCTTTCCTTCCTCTTACGTCTTTGCAGCCGCATCTGGTGCTGCTCTACCTGGTCCAGGCTCCCTTCTTCCACTCCTTTGTCTATAGTTGCCCAGGTGAGCTTCTCACTCCCTTCCCCATGCTTTGTCAACTCTGCGGCCTCCGAGCCCGTAAGCAATCCCTGAAATGTGGCGCACTGCGCCTCCTCCGAAACCCCGTGCACTTTCCTCGTCTTTTTCTTGAACTCGTGCACGAACGCCCCTATCATGGAGAAGTCGTTCTTGTTCATGGCTTCCAAGTCCGCCATGGTCAACAACCCATCCCCCAACCTGTACTTCCTTAGCATCAGGTCCCTGAACCTTACCCAGTTGCCATTTGCGGCGTCCACCACCCTTCCCACCTCCTGATGGTGGCTATGGAGGACGTACCTCATGATACGCTGGAATCTAACTTCATCTGACAACCCCACCAGCGCCTGCTCAATCAAGTTCAGCCAATCGGACACCCGATCTCCTTTAAAATGGAATGTGTCAACCTTTGGGACATTGCTCGACGCTCTCTCGCGCTTATCCAAGGCATCGATGAGGTCGTCGAGTGTCACGAGCCTCCTCCCACCGTTCGCCATCTCCTCTGGCATTTTGATCAACTGCCTCCGGCTTCAATCTTCCTGTTATAAGAAACGATAGGACGAAAGGTCCCACTCAGCAGTCCAATCCCTCACGATCCTATCGGGTTAACCCCTTAAACATTCAATGCTCTAGACCTGGCAGACATCTTTCTTCCTATTTCCGTTAGGCTTACCCGGATAAGGCCTAACCTTACCATAAAGTCACCTCACTCACGCGTCTCATCCACGTCATCAGCCAAGCCGCCAATCAATCAATTATTCATACCCACAGTCATATAAACCACCGCACAATCCATCTCATAGTCTTTCCCTCATCCACTCATATGCCTAATTCTCCTTCATTCCCATACCCGGATGTCGTTCCACCAGGAACAACGGTAGGCTTCCGTTATCCCCCGAAACGACGCCACCTGTCGAGTGCATCGGTCCGGAACCGCGCGTGGCATTGCAGGACCCTCTCGGTCGCGTCATGCAGGAGTTGGACCTACCTCGCCACGAACACGCAAATGGAGCTTCCTTAGGCCGCTCTGGACGAGTGCGCCAGCCATACCTCTCGCTAGCCCCTACAACAGGATAGGGTCTATGCGAGACACAACTTACCTCCACCTTACAGGAGCTGTCACCTCCCTTCGGTGGGCGTATCCCCGCCGAGCTACCACTCCATGATACGAAAGCTAATCTGTTGCAATCGCAGAGGTGGACCAACCGAGGGCGTTTCTCGTTCGCCGTAGCATAGGGGGTACGCGCGGTAATACGCCTATCTGACCCGCACGCGAACCGACATCTTGGGGGGTTGAGGTCCCAAGCGCGACTCGTCGTCGGTCGACTAGGACGCATCCTACACACCACGCGCACACCACTTTACGAACACAAAAATAAAACACACACACACACAAAGCGACACAACACTCACAACGCGACAACGCTCCTAGCCCCTTGGTAGTCATCCCATAACTCCCCGATGCGGAAATCAGATAGGCGTCGCGCACGAGACTTGGTATAAAACCGCGCGGGCGCAGGGCTATCTCATATCGACTCGCAAATGCAAATGTGCGCAAGCAGTCGCGATGATGGCGTACTATGTAGCGCCCACAATCAAGCGGTCCCTCGTGGATCTGAGTACCGCTTGTGACACTCAAGTGTCAAACTCGAAATGTCGTGAGGATCTAATCCTTCACGACATTGCACGGCTGAAGGAATAGTCGTGCAGCCGCCGCGAGACCTCCGGCCCTTGGCTTGAGCGTCTCGTCCGGCAAGGCGAATAGGCTCTGCACGGGGGCAGATTCCTTCCCTGCAGAGTCTAGGGCTTGGAATGTCCTGGACAAGGACCTTGAATCCCGGCCCAGGACCAACGTCCGACTAAGAAAATCCCAAGACGCAAATAAGCAGAAAGGAGGGTCTTCCATATGCCCCTCAATCTCAACTTTTAAACAGGGTTTTAACATGGGCCTCTTGGGCCTCTCGAACATTCTTCATAAGCACACCCACACATACACGCATAAGGGGGATACAGTTGCGACGATCACTTCTCACAGGCACAGTGGGACCCCTCACAACCATGTATATGTGTATGGGATCGTAGGCAATCCAAATCCAAAATACGAGCCGCAGGACATACCTGCAATCACACCAAGAATCGAACGACAAAACAGGCACTAGACGGAGTCATCCCCAACCATTCTCTATGCTCATACCCCTTCGCTTTAGCCATGCAAGCCCCAATCGCCGATCCAACCAACCTCAATTAAATACTCAATGCCTTTGTTAAATGACCATTCAATAAAAGTCCGGGTGAAACCCTTAATAAACAGTAAAACCACCAGGTCTAACGCCTTTTAGGTTGAGTATGGAGAGTGGGTTGAAATCGAGTCGTAGACCGACGAATCGGCGATGATGGCAAATGGTAGAATCTCCCCTATTCAGGGTGGATTGCCAGAATCGCCACCTGTCAAGATGTAGTCTAACTCTTTTAGTTCAAGAAAATTTCGGCAGCGCTTCCCGTAGGAAAAGTGCCTTTTCAAAATTTATACAAGCTCAGATATAAAAAACAGGAGTAATCTATAACTTTGAAAAGTCAGATTCTGTCTAACTCCCTGGATCAGTAGAAATTTGGGCAGCATCCCCTTTGGAATTGGGGATTTCCCAGATTTATATTAAGCCAAATTTGAACTCAACCCCCAACTTTGAGTTCAACTTAGACAAAGTCTGACTAACTTCTTAGTTTTGCAGAAATTTCGACAACACTCCCCCTAGAAAAGTGCTCTCCCAAAATTTATACAAAGCTAAGTTTAGAACCCGAGACTAACTTTGACATCCCAAAGCCCAATTTTATCTAACTCCCTGAATTAGCAAAAAATTGGGCAGCACTCCCTCTAGAAAAGGGAGGCTTTCCAGATTTTTACTAAGTCAGATATAACGAAAAGACAAGTTGAACCTTGACAAGTCAAAATTTGTCTAATTCTTTGAATCTGTAAAAATTTCGGCAGCGCTTCCCGTAGAGAAAGTGGCTTACCAAAATTTATACAAGTCCAAGTATAACAGTAAGTCTCAACAATGCAAGAATCGTCCTAAGTAAAACAAAGTCAGCCCAGAAAATGCAAAAAATGGAGCTAACTCCTATCGCTCTAGCATGTGGCGAACCTCTAAAGCAACTACCTGTCAACCTGAAACCCAGACCAAGTAGTAATCTCACTCAGCCACATGCAGGCTAAACCATAAAGGTAAGTACTCTCACCAACCCCAAGCTCTTTAACAACCAATAGTTCATGCTTCTTTTGTGAATTACCCCTTTGTACCCAACTTACGTAAGGCATAGGTCAGGCCACCTGAACTTACAGAGCGCGCCCAACTTAGCCAGGCCTAAAGTCGGAATACCTAAACTTATAGAGTGTTCTGACTTGGCCAAGTATACACAAACAGATGGCACTACTACTTCTCTCTTCTTTGGGCATGTGACTAGACCACTCTAGTCGACCTGAAATGTTTAAGTAGCCAAGTTATATATATCTCTCTGAACTTAATCTTCAAGGGGGCATAAGGCTGAGCCACTCAAGTTAGAACATTGCTTAGCCTGCTCAAGTTTACCTTAATTATAGCTCTTTAATTGTACTCTCTTCAGTTGTGATAAGCTATAGCCAGGTTACCTAAACTTATAGAGCGGCCTGACTAGCCTGTTCCTAATAGCATAGTAATATAGTACAATCAGATTGTATCCATTGGGTTCCAACATGTGCGAGGCATTGGGTAAGGCTACCTAAACTTATAGAGCGGTCTGACCCTCTGCCAGGTTCATTCCTCTCTGATCCAGTCTGTGTGAGGCAGTAGGCCAGGCTACCTAAACTTATAGAGCGGCCTGTCCCCTGCCAAAATTAATCCCTCAGAACAAAACAGGAGAAGGGCCGAACCACCTAAACTTATAGAGCGATTTAGACCTCCTCGTTCAGAACCAAAGAAACAAAAAGAATTCCCTAATAATCAAGGTGACCCAAGGTACCTAAACTTATAGAGCGCCCTGAGCCCCTGAAAGTCACTCACAGTCACCCCCCCCCCCCACAAGTCAGAGCAGTTAGGTCACCTAAACTTATAGAGCGTTTTGACTCTCCATACAGTTCACAGCACTGGGTCTCCCCAAACTTATGGGGACATCCCAGCCTCCAGAGCTCCAGGCCACCTAAACTTATAGAGCGGCCTGAGGCTCCATGCAATCCAAAAATAAACGAAGCGCTGGGCTTCCCCAAACTTATGGGGACCTCCCAGCCTCAACGACCCAATCAGTCTGCATGCGGTACTGCCTTCCTCCCAACCTTTCCCCCAGATGCACCCTCATTCGTTCACAATCTGCTTTCAAGCAACCAACAAAGTCTGAAACTGAAATTTGCACACGCATTCCTATATTTCAGTCTGACTTGTGTCCTGACAGTCAAACTCAAACCGAGTACATGACTCACACCATACACTCAATCAAACCATAGAGGGTCGTACAAATAGGGGTTATAGTGGGGTTTATAAAAGGAGTCAGGGAATTACCACTCAGTTCCCTGCCTCCAGGGCTCCTCCTGAGCCCCGGCAGAGCTCCTGCAATCGGTGGGACAAACCTCCCACAGAGGCCTTGGCGCGGGTCACGGGCCTCAAGCCTGCCTGCCGCCTTCCTCTCAGAACCAAAGAGACTAGACTTAGAGGGAGAAGGATAGAGAAAGAAGGAATAAAACACTCAATTAGAAAGATACACGCAGACTTGTGTGAGAGGGCCTTAATTCCTTCAGCACCTGAGGGCCTCGCAATGGCGGCCAACCCACAACACTTAGTGGAAAATAAAGTAGCCCGATGATGCAGCCATAGCCCAGTAACCGCCGCTGCACGCAGCAATCAAGGTAAACCGCAGAGTCCATGGCAAGGAGGCAGCCACAGATGTTGCAGCTTTGCAGCCTGCTCCTCTTCCCCTTTGGCTCGCCGACGTGTAGAGTATCGACCCGCCGCCGATCCTGCAAGCCCACTAGGAATGCCTTCAAGCCCGTTGTTTGCTCCTTTCTGCTTGACTGATTAGCTCTCTCTAACCAACTGGTAGATCAAGCATCCCGCTGCCTCTCCACCGACGGGATAGGCAGTGCGGCTGCCAGCGGGTAGGCCTCTGTAACCCCCCCTCGGCTAGTTCCCCGCAACTCCAAACGCTAGGACGAGCGGCCCGTCTGCCAAGTAGTAATCCTCGGATTCCGCAGCCCTCCCCTGCTCCTTCGTGCGATGGGGCGGACAGCACAGTGGCCACCGGGTAGACTTCCGATCCCTGCAGCTGGCTTCCCACTACTCACATCGATAGGAGAGGGCAAAATCGAATGAATCTCCCGCTAAGACACAGATAGATACACCGCCAGAATAGCCTTGCTCGGCCGACTCCCAATAACTGCGCCTGCAGCGAGGTCAGGTGGGGCGGTTTCCACCTATATGCGGGGCTACGCAATGGCCAGCCGGTAGGTCTCCGAGCTCCTACCTGCTCACACTACCCCCACCAATGGGGAGAGCAAAATGGAATGAATCTTCCATTGGAATGCGGGACGATACGTTAGTAATCTTCAAAACTCAGCCTCCCCGGCGCGCTGCT